CAAACACGCTTGCATATAAATTCCTAGCGAAATATGCAAATTCCCAGCTGAGCAATTCGCAACTGATTGCAGTGGAAGTGGTTACTCAGCCTGTGGACATATAGATTCCGAACTCGGGGGTGTGACAATCGTTTCAACACCAGACATGATCCATCGATGACAATCCCCAGTATAATTAGCACAGATGAGCAAACGATTCGCAGTAAATATTTTCCACTTTATCACACGAGTCACGCCCTATTTTTGGTATCTGAACGTGCGCTTTGTGCGCTTTGCAGCGGAAAATCGGGGAAAAACAAAACCTAAGGTCGAGTCGAAACAAGCAATTGGCAACCAAGCAGCAAACGTTCTAAATGGCCAGCTAATTAGCCAAGCGAGTCGAAAATCGACAGACAGAATGTCGCTCCAAGTGGGCCAAAGTGTTTTGCACGAGGCCACTAAGAAGTGGGCGAACTTCGTGGGTGGTGTTATTTCCATTTTCGGCGGTTGGATGTTGTAACCCAATGTGGCTACCCACGCACTCGGATTCTTTTGCAAAATAAAGGGCAGCCGCACTGAGACACTGAAATACGCATTCGGTGTGGGCAGTTTTTCTCATTTCACGATCCATTTGGATTGCGTTCCACTATCTCCAAAGCGTTGATAACGATCTGCAAAGCAAACAGGCCGTAGCCGATAAGATATATTCAGCTAAACCGTGCAAGACTTGCCTGGGAGCTGGAGAATTGTGCAACTTGTGCTGTTCCTATTTTGGCGAGCGGGGAAACTTTGGCCATGTCAACGACAAAAGACAAGTCAATCAACTGGAACTGCAATCGAATTGGGAGTGGAAATCGGAATTGGAAATCGAATCCCAGCCAAAGAGGTTGCGGCAAAGGGGGCAACAAAGCGACAAAGAAAGCCCCACAAATCAATGCAGTCCAGGGCCAAAGTGGTCAGCAGTCGCCTCGCATATGGAAATCGTTGGGCAGTCTGCAAGTCTGCAAGTCTGCTGCCTTTCTCCGGACTTTCCTCCCGCATTTTGCATAAATCTATAATGAGATTTGGAATGCAACTGTCACACATAATGGCATTGCCACGACGACGACCAATCTGACCAATCAATGCAGCTTAGCCAAAGGCCACTACGATGATATAAGCACGTTAGAAGTGCTCAAGGCATACGATTGCTAACATTTTATACAAATTCCATTTTTAGTTACTTCGACTATTGTGCCTGATGACTGAAAGACCTAATGACCACCTAAACTCAAAAAAAAAAAAAGTACAATATAGAAATACACAGGCTATTTCAGCAAATGCTTCTCAAATATATTTAATAAGCGCAGCGTAAACAATATTTAGATTATGCCCCCCATTCGCAAAGCGGAAGTTGGGTGCCCAAATATTTATTGGCCATGTTCACTGTTTATAAACAAAACACGCGCCAGATGAAACAATAGCCATATATTAACCCCCACCGCTGTCGATCAGTTGGCTCCATAGAATGCCATACTTATGGGCAGTCTAGTTGGCTTTTCGGCATTTTATGGGAAATTACGAAGCAGCTGTTGGAGGCAATTATCGAAATTGTACGGAATAGAGGAGCTTGCTGGCCGCGCACAGTGAAGTCCAGAATGTGAGTAGTTGATATCGAATGCCTTCCAATTGATGGACCTCCGATATTAGCCAGAGATCATGTGCAGCTGCAGACAGTTCAATCCGTTCTACATCGGACCCTATCCGGAGCGTGCTTGCGGGGATTGTCCGTATGGCCAGTACTCGGGCTTCACCAGATGCGGATGGAGCGGCGGAAACGGTCCCTTTGGCACCACCTTCTGTGATTCCCGCTACGGTGGAGGCGGAGGAGGAGGAGGAAGGAGATGTGGAGGCGGAGGTGGTGGATGTGGAGGAAGAGGCAGAGGTGGTTGTGGGCCATCGTGTGGTCATCGTGGCGGATCGTCCTGGGGTCCCCGCTATTCCCAGTACTATCAGTCGCCGTGCGGAGTGGACAGCTGCATGATGTGCTCCAGTGGATTTGGCTGCTGTGGCCAATCCTGTCGCACATCCTGCTACTCCTGCTGCTGAGTGGTCGTTTCGTGGATATTGGGCTTCACTGTGTGCGGTTAATTGGTTTCTTGAGTTTTTTTTGAGCAAAATTGATTGTAAAGCAGAAACAATTATGGTTAGCCCTTTGGGTTTATTATCGGTTGGGTCTTAAAATAACCAGATGCTTCACGCTCCAATCGCCACCAATAATCCCCTGTAATGGAATGCCCACACATGACTGCCTCTTGGTTGTGGAACAAAGTTGTCGCCTGCGATATACATTCATGCATTCCATACATCAAACGAGGGCACTGCGGATGTGGAAATCCAGGCCAGAATCGGAGAGGAAAGGAGGTTGGCGCCGCTAAATGCGATTACAGCATAAACGATTAATTTTATTGCAGTTAGCCGGGATGCTTCTTCCATAAACTAATTAAAGCCCAGTGGAAAGTGGGCAGTGGGCAGAGGACAGTGAACAGTGAACAGTGGATACAGTCGCCGCTGACTTCAAAGAAAGGGTTAATTGTGCGCTACTGTCCCGCCCCACGGAATTCGCCCTCTTTCATTCCGCTCTCTTGGTTTTTCATTCTTTCTTTTGTCTTTTCCACAGACAACTGGGCAGTTTTCTTTCGTTTTCTAGGCCGAAATTACTCCATGGCTCCATGGATTTTGTGGGTCCCAAGTTCTTGTTCTGCTCCTCGCCGCTTCTGAGGCCATTGTTGTGGCGGCTGTCATGTTGTGGGTGGCCGCACTCAGCTCTGTTTGTTTGTTTTCCATGCTGCGCTGCCTGTTTGTCGCTTTGCTCTTGTTTCCCTGCGTTATTTTTTCGTGTCACGCCTCATTTAGCTTTTCACAACATTTCCACATTTCCACCCACCCGCTCAAGACACAGCACATCGCATCGCATCGCATAGCATCGCACGTAGTCTCGGAAATATGTGGGGATCTGGAGCAGTGGTGCCTAGTCCTCTGCACTCTCGGCTCTTAGCACACATCGAAATTAACCGAAATAACCAGTGGGGTGTGTGTAGATGCGTGTGTGTAGATTGTATCTGTGAACTAGATCAAGCTGTTTCGTCTTCTGCTTGGAGTGCCCCTCGTAATGAGCCACAATATGTTCGAGTTAATTGCATCTGATCGAAGTTTGCCTCGGGTAGGCAATAGTAGGTACGGTAGGTTATGACATTTCAAATATACAATATATTTGATTGTAATTGATATAATAATTAATAATGAGTTAAAAGAGGCACCCATGTGGGCAAGCATGTTTGAGAGTAGCTACAGCGGAACTACAGCTTAACTAGTTATAAGCCTTTAAACCCGAGGGTAAATTCCAATTGATAATATAGCTTTAATAACTTTGTGTGTTGAAGAAAATTGTTTCTTGATCTATTTATTATTAGTTAGTAATTCCTCTTCTAAGGAATAGTTATCATTAGCTATAACCCACTTGCATTACATTTACACACCTCCCATCTTTGTTGATTTATGTAATCGCAAAAAACCGTAAAAGATCGTCATAACGCCGATCTGATGAGTCGTAAAAAAAGGCCAATTAAAGCATCTTAAATTTGATTAATTTCAAGCGCACTTTTCAAGATGCGCTGCTATATAGATAAGTTCGATAAGTTCGTTAATTTGCCCGTGATGAAATTAAGCTTTATTTGGGATCGTGTGGTTATATGGTGATTATTCCGATAATTGTATAAATTAGTAGAAGTAGTATAGTAGTAGTAGTAGTAGTAGTAGTAGTAGTAGTAGTAGTGTAGTAGTATTACTAGCGGCATTATGAGTGGGGGCCTCGAAAGTGAAATTCGCTGATATCGCAAGAGCGTTCGATCCATTTAATTTGCCGACTGACTTGTAGGTGCTCGGGAATGCCGAATGGCTTCGGGTTTGAGCTTCGTTTTGAACTTCGGCTTGGCGCACCTGCCCCGTGTGCACGCCCTCTCACTCCCACTCCCGTTCGCAACCCCCTCCCCCTGGTGGCCTCTCTTTCGCACCTTCGCGGTTGTTGGTGGGCCGGGTGAGCAGCCGCCGTTTTTCAAATGCTAAAATTGGCGATTAGTCAAAATGATGTCACCGAGTTATTTTGATTGTTTTTTTTTTTGTGATTATATGTATGTATTTATTTCGCTTGACTTTGGCATTTTGGCGACATGCTGACCATAAATTCCGTATTATTGTTTTCCCCATCGATATCCCCGATGGTCAAAGGTGGGCTGCGAAATAAAATGCTCTGACCCGTACATCCATCAAGTAGCTGAGTGTCTTTTCATTCGCACGGCGCTCAATTATTCGCTGAGCTAATCATTTCACCGATTGCCATATGGCGGTAAGTGATCTAATCTCAATGAGCAAACGGTCTGTTAATTAAAAAATGCGGTTCAGTTTGATATGAAATTTTATCAACTACTCGTATGTGAACTTGGATGTCAACCCGAAGCAACAGTTAAGGAAATTCAATAAAATGGCAAGCCTACCAGGTCTTCAAACTTATCTCGTATAAAGAAGTCAATCTCAGCTTAATAATACAATCGAATAAATCATAATCATAATTTTGTGAACGAAGGAAAATGGGGCGTGGCGTAACAAAAAAGACTTCTCAACGGGATGCAAATAGTTTAACTACCGTTTCTCCCATCACAAAAACCACCAAATCCGAACTTCTCTCTTAGCTATCCACAAACATATTTAGTTGTAAACTAAATTCCAGGCGCAACCACAAACAGGCTTGGCCTAAAGGGGGTTATTTTGGGCAAAGGGCGCAGAGGAGCCAGACGCTTTTTATGAATGAACACTTTGCGCTGCGTCGCCAACGCGTCACTCATCCGAGTTTTCCTATCGCGGAAATCTACTACGCATTTCAATGGGGTTATGGGGGGGTGGAGGGGCAATCTTGGCAACATTTTATTGGTATTGTTTATGCCCGGGAATTTGGTAATAGAATCCGCACAGTATTTGTTGTTTACCTTTTGTAATTAGCAACCTTTTTAATGCGTCACTTTTTGTTGGGCTGCGCGGAGTTGCTGCTTCTTCTTAATGCTCTTTCTCCTCCTTCTCCTATTTCTCCGCACTTATCGCGTTTTATTTTCACCTGCTGTTTACACACAATAAACGGTAAACGGAGTTGCAAAACTCGCGTTAGCGGACGAGAGAGCGATACAGCGGAGAGATAGAGAGCGAAGATGCTGCGCCCTTTTGGCCTTTGGTAAAAAATATGGTAACAGGAAAACTTATTTTTTCGGGCTACGCTTATGGGCTCAAAACACATACACACCGATGGCACAAACGCACACACACACGCGCGCGCTCACAGGAATTGAAGCCTGGCTTTAAGCCGCAATCTATGCTGAACTTTTTTCTGGCTTGCCAACGGTAAATACGACGCGCGACTCGCGATTAGCTCCCTGCGAATATCTTATCAACGGATTTTGTTTACCCAAAAACCACTTCCAACATTGCGCCGCGACACTGCTTCGACACCCACAAGCCAGTAACAACAAAAACGTTGCACAGTGTTACCAGACGCTGGTGGGTCCCATTTGAATTCGTACTAAAAAATACCACAAATCCAACGAGCTTCTAATTTGAAATTACAGACATTGAATCGCACACAGATCAGCAATTGAATGGAACAATGTTATTTTTAAACTTAAATTTGAATAGAATTTCAATATGATATTAGGTGATATATGTTTGATATATACAAAACAATAAGTGACAGTACAAACTTCTTTAATCAAGGTGGCAACTGCCACTGGTGGGATCCTTTGTTTAACATAATGTGCCTGTGCGGTTGGTGTCTTCGCTAAGTACTGTAAAAATTCGACAAAAATACGTTGCTTTTACCTAAAGGAAATACAAAAAGTATATTGAATGTTTGTTTACACTAATTTTAATTTATTTTTAAGCCAAGAGCTTTGCAGGAAACTACATCTAGATGGCAGCAAACTCCATTTAAAGCATACAAATTTCACAGCTCTACTTGTGTTTTTAACTGCATATAATAAGGGCTTAAGTTCTATTCCGCTTTTTCATGTGCTATGGATTCCGAATCCGCCTTGGTTTGGCGTTCCTTTCGAGCTCGCTCCTTGAGCTGCGCCGTTTTTAGAGTCACCATCAGCTGCGTGGAGTTGTAGAGCCAAGTGCCCTGTAAAAAAGAATAGATAACTACAACTTTCTCGCAGTAAACGAAACACTTTTACTTACAATCAGCAGCATACAGTTTAGCAAAATGGGAATTGAGAAAACTGTCGAGATAAACAGGCCGTTGCTATCGAAGTATTGTTGTCTGGAGAAGGAACTCCAGTTCTGGGCTGCGAACTCATTAATGCTCTCGGTGAAGTAAACCGCCAGCACTGAAGAAGATAAAACACATGCAAAAATCAGAGCCATTTATCGGGAAGTCAAGGAAGCCGCAAAGTCCACGTACGCAGTACTAGAAAGAGGAAAACCTGGAAGTTGGAGTTGTTCCGGCTGAGAAGCGCTGTTGTGGTGGTCAAGATATGCGCCAAGATAAGGCCAATAAGCCATGGATCCTTCCAATCGATCTGCAACATAGAAACAACATGCCAGATTCTCTTCTTAACTAAACAAGTAAGTGTCTCACGCTCAGCAGAAATGTCCAATAGCCATTGATCTCGTTGACCTCAATTTGCCCAGGGTGCATTGCGCATATATTTGTGAATATTGATGTTTTGTCTACAAATGGTTTATTTTATGAGATATTCGAAAGCCGAGTCAAAACAAATATAAATGGCCATTCGCAGTGAGCAGCTGTCGTTCACATGGCAACGCCTTTAAGGGGCCTATATACGTTCAGGCCTCTTCAATTTTTCCTGGATCTGGTAGCTCTGTTTGCAGGACTTAACTTACTTCTTTTTAGAACAATAACAACATTAGTGAAGATAGAACATTGTCGAAATGGTATACTTGCCTTTACTTAGCATAAGCTAATAAATCTTTAATAAATTCAATTCAAATATTTGTGCCGCCTCATTCTCACCCCTCAATTGTCGTGCATAATCGCCCTGTCCGTCATGCAGTCTGAACGTGTCGATAACGCTTTCACTGACTCAGTTGACAACATTAACAAATCTGAAAAATATCACAAAGAATTCGTTAAAAAACAGTCAAAATTGTAGTTTTTAGGGCGAATCCCATCTATCCGGGTTATTTTGTCGAACGGGCAACGTGTGAGCAAGTGAGCGAAGCTAAAGCCGAACAGGGTAATCTGAAAAAAGGGGCGCCTTAGATGTGGCACGGGCCACCGACCCATCCCTGCACCACATTCGTCTAGGACTCTGATCTGAAGCGCTGGTGGCGGAGGCGCAGCTTCTGGCCGGGATCGGACAGGGATCGAGGCGTACTCGAGACCCGTCGAAAGGTCGCAGTCAAATCGTAACGACGACACGTAACGGAGCGCGGTTCAAGGACACGCGGCTCAGACTCCTCGCTCAGAGTCGCAGGCAACGTAAAAGCCGCTGTGTTCGGGCGCTAGGCAAGCCCACGCCTCCGCCCATCGGCTTCTGGAAGATCCATTCGGCTCTGTGGTCCACAAGCCTTCGTGCAGCCCACTTCCACGCCCACGCCAAGCGAGTTCAACGCGAAATGGCCGTTAAGCAGAACAACAGCGAGCCGGGAGACGCCTCGGATAATGCCGGAGGAACTGGCAACGGCATCCCGCCCAACACCAAACCTATGTCTTCTAACGGGCTTAAGAACGCCGAAGAGAACGGAGTGTCTAAGGGCATGGACACGGGATCGCCCGCTGGCGAGAGCCTGAATTCCAACCGGCCGGGAAAGCGGGACATTAAGGCCCTGCTGGCATACCTCCAAAGCATCGATATGCCGGAGCAAGGTCACAATGTGATGGCCATCTGCGAGAGGGTTATCGTGGACTTGGCCCGTCTGCACATCCCCCGAGGCGCATCTTGTCCACGCCTAAAGGAAGACGTGTGCCAAGTCGGCGCCTTTTTGGCCACGCGCAACGAGAAGTTCCACCAAATGTTCTACCTGCGTGTCGTCTACGAGCTGATCACCAAGTCTCCGTTCGAGCCACCACCCTCGTGTGCCGTGGCCATTGTGTTCCAGCTGTTCGACTCCACACAGATCCTGGAGGCTGTGCACTCGCTGCTGGAACAAAATGTGCAGGACTCGAGCATTCGAAAGACGGTGAACCTGCTGTGCGATTGGATCACGTACTGCACCTTCTGCAGCACTCTTAATCTTTGGGTCCTCGCGCTTCTTAAAGGTCTGCGGGATCAGGGCAAAATGGCGCTGCTTGACGAGATTGCACTGGACAACATCGAGAAGCTGTTTCACGTGATGATCTTCCCGGCGCTGAGACAAAAGGCCGCTCCGGTTGTGTTTCATATGCTGTCGACGATTAATCAGACGCCCGAGGTTTTTCACAAAGTAAAGTCCGCTCAAATATAAGCTTTAAGTTCTTTATTGACAATTGGATGTAACCCTTTTAGATCTTGCCAAGGATCCCCCGAGTCCTGCAGTATGTGAAGAATCAGTCGGCCACCATGGACGAGATTGGCCTGGAAACCAAGAAATGTCTGCAGCAGCTGGTCGACCTTACCAGCGCCCTAATGCTACGCTTCTACGATCAAGATGAGCTTTATGTCGCCGCAAAGAAGGCCCTGCAAACCTATGAGCCCTCTCCGAATTGCGTGGCTCTGGCGCGGGCAATGCACGAGAATGCCCAGCCGTGGGGTCGGCGGAATGCGAGGGTCGGACTCGTTAACCTGGGAAATACCTGCTACATGAATAGCGTGCTTCAGGCGCTAGCCATGACCAGCGAGTAAGTGAAGACTAAATTGAGTTGAGTGATTGTAGAATTTAAAGAATTTATTGAAACCTCAGTTGTTATTTCCCTAAAATAGCAACGAAAAATAATATCTTTGCTTTACCTCTTATCTTATGATAAATACTCGGCTTCGGGTTGTAGGCGCCTTTTGTTTTCAAGTTCACTGTTTATAAATGGGTTTTAAATGTCAATTTCCCCCTAACGAAAATAATAAGCAAGGCCATTTGTGGGCTTTATATGTATTTCTACAACTGCACAATAACTAACTACACCACTTTTCCTTATGCAGTTTTAGCAGGCAAATCCTGCTTATCGAGTGCAATTCAGTGCTGCTTATGAAAGTGCAGCAGCAGATCGCCCTGATGCACCACTCGCTACGCTACGAACTGACGCCTTCGCGAGTGTTAAACGCCACCCGACCGCCCGGTTTTACGCCCGGCCTTCAACAGGACAGCTCCGAGTTCCTAGGATATCTGCTCGACCTGCTGCACGAGCACGAGATCAACAGCTCCTCAGCCACTGCTCATACTGTTGGTCCTGCGAAGACCAGCAAGGATGTCGACGACGTGCCGGCACTGCTGAGTGAGGATATATTCACAAGCGGCGTAATTCCGTATAACAACAAGGATCATGAGCTCAGCAGTGGTAGCAGCAGTGACAATTGCAATCACAAGCCCACGCCGACACCTCCCGCGACTCCCACCAAAGGCAAAAACGGCTTACAGCAGCAAGGCCAGCAGGTGACTGAAGGGAAGCCACCATCTACCATCGACAAGACGTTCGCTGGCAAGCTTTCCACTACCTACCGATGTCTGAGCTGCGGCTGGGAGAGCCGGAACGAGGACAGCTTTCGCGAACTGCAGCTGTCTTTTCCCGATGATAAGGAAGACTGTGGAGCTACCAACTACTCGGTGCAGGATCTAATCGAGTACTACTGCTCGCCTGAGAAGCTGGACGGTGACAATCAATACTTCTGTCCACAATGCAAGAAGCTTTGTGATGCGGAACGGCACATCGGGGTCACCCAGGCGCCTAGGAACCTAATTCTCACGCTTAAACAGTTCAAGTACGATCAGAAGTACCACTTCCGCACCAAGCTCATGCATAAGGTGTTCCACGATGAGAGCGTTAGTATCGCAGTGAATTTCTTTGAAATATGTTTAACTAATCATTTTCGCACTCTAGGTCACAGTAAAAATGTCTGCAACGGACTCGCTGCAGGAGACGTCTACTGTGCACTATGACCTGTATGCCGGTGTCGTGCACGCCGGCTACAGCATGGATTCCGGCCACTACTTTACGTTTGCGGCGGATCAAGCCAAGAATTGGTACAAGTTCAATGATAACGTGGTTACCCATTCGAAGCCGGAGGAGATGCACAATCTCACTTCGCCCAACACACCCTACATCCTGTTCTACAAGATGTGCGGCCACTCCAATGAGGCTAATACGGATGCGGCCAGCTGCAGCACAAGCATGGGATCGGGCACGAATGACCAGGTGGTCTCGGTGCCGCTGTCGCCGCCTTTAAAGCTGGAGGAGTTGCCGCGGCGACTCCGCGACTACGTAAGAAAGGACAACCATGTTTACAACGAAGAGTTAAGAATGCAGCGCTTTAAGCGTGGCAGCAGCGGTCACGGCAATGGATTTGTCAGCCGGCACACATTTGACGGCGATGGTGACGAAGACGACAAGGCGCCGCCGCCGCCCGGAGGATGTGGAAGCAATGGACTGGGCATGAACATCAACCGCTTCGTCTACTAAGAAAGCGGCAGCGAGGCTAGCGAGCGCTCCGGAGGCCACTAGAACATATACTTGTCTACTTTATGAAACACGCGCATACTAATCGAAATGTTACATATATATATATATAGCCAGTTCATAACTAATTGAGATATATACGGCTACGTATATCGAAGTGTATGAGAATCGCTGGCCGCTGCGCTTACCGATCGCTTGTTCGCTACCTCTTTCCGTTGTTGTCCATTTTTTCTAAATTCTTTCTTCCTTTCCTACCTGATCCTTCGGTCCTTTAACCCAAAAATCATTATACTCACCCACTCATACAAACGCAAACTATCAATGTATTTCCATTTACAAAATTGTTATAATTTTTTGTTTTTGTTAACACAAACCTAGTTGTAGAACGTGCATATATGCGAACACATACATATATAATTATAAAGATTAAAAACATCTGAATTAGCCAGAAATAAGAGCGATGTACTCGAAACCGAAGACCACTAACTTCCAAAACACTAAATCAGAAATGTATGCACCTTAGTTTTTAACTCACAGCTCGGAGTAAAATCATATCTCGAGTTGCGATCGCTCTAGCAAGAAGCTAAAGAATAAGATCGTCGCGGCATTGACTTGTATAAAGAGTTGGCGAAAGCGAGATCGAAATCGGGCTATAACCCTCGGATCGTATTATTAGTTTCACTGTTAATTTTTTGCAAATTTCAAAAAATTTGCTAATGTGCGACACGAATTTGTAATTGATATATAAATGTATCTCTTTGGATCTGGTGAGCAGAGGTTGCGATGATTTTTGAATGTTATTGCAATTAAATTGGAATAATTTCAAGAAAATTTGTATATGGTGAATGTCTATTGATAACCAAAATCTATACTATGCTATGCTATAAGTGTATCAATAAAGAAAAGAACAAGCCCAAAAAAATATAAATTATTAGAATGTGATGTACGCAATGGTAATATCAATATTAAAATATTGAAGAAATTAACCCCTAGATGGGATCGTTGAGGTGAACGCCACATTTCAAATTGAAGCGTACTAAAAATCTGATATCGGGTCTAAGACTATCGATAATTTAGTCCGCGCTGCAGTGTTACCAAATTATTAAAGGCTATTTAAGTGTTGTTTTCAGGATGGGGAAGAGCTCATTCACAATCTGGTAACACTGCTAGAAAGCGCCAAAATTTTACGTTTATTAGGATTAAGACTAATTTTATTACGATAAAATAGAGATATACAAATTCGGCCCTTAGGAAAGGCATCCCCAACTCTGCGGCAAAGTATCGTCCTTGAGAATTCCGCATCATGTCCTTCTTCGGAGCCAACACGTCGCTGGGTGCAACAAGCACGCCGACCAAAAGTGAGTTTCCGTAAACAAGACCTCATGCCCTTTTCTCCAGGTATTTATGGGGTCCATTTCCACTTGGCGGCGGCTTCAGCAGCTTCTTGGCGTCCTGCAAGCTATGGATGCGGATGTCCTTAGGGTCGATGCTGGATGTGGGGCAGGTTAATGGTTTGCATGGTGCCTGAACCGTATGGAAAATCAAAGGTGCTCACCCTTTCTTGTGGACCACATAGACGACGTATCCCACGAAACCCAGCACGAGGATCAGCAATATGAAAACCAGAGCCATTTTCCACGACCAGTAGCCGACCAGTGCTTAAGACAAACTAAGGGCAGTTAAAATATTTTTGAACCCGAAATCGCAGATAAGAATCCAAGGCAGAAGCATAGTTTTCAAAACACTGACCCATTTTCGGTCTGCTTATCTCTTTGCTCAGCAACTGGCGGCCTCTTCGGATCGCCGTTTGGCAGCACCGCTGTAGCCAGCCAGCCAGCACCCGCTTTCGGAACACAGGCCACATCAACTCCGGCTTTTGGCGCCCAACCGGCGACATCTGCCTTCGGAGCAGGTTCCGCCTTCGGAGCAACCGCAGCAGCCCCGGCTTTTGGTGCTGCCACAGCAACTTCTGCCTTCGGCGGCACCGCCTTTGGCAGCGCTCCGGCATTTGGAGCGGCGACAACCACAACAGCGGGCACCGGTCTTGGAGGAGGCGGGTTTGGCGGATTTGGAGCAGCTCCGGCAACGAGTCAGGCCAGTCTGTTCGGCGCTCCAGCGACTAGTGCAGCACCACCTGCATTTAGCGGATTCGGCCAACAGGCAGCTGCGAGTACAGCGCCTGCAAGTGGATTTTCAGGCTTTGGAACAACCACGACTTCGGCACCTGCTTTTGGCGGCTTCGGCACCAACCAGTCCACTGGCTTTGGGGGCGGAGCCTTCGGATCCAGTGAGTTAAAAAAGCCCAATTGTTTTTCTGTGGTATTGCTAACCTGGTTTACGAATCACAGCCTTTGGGAAACCAGCGAATACAACAGTTACGCCGGGGTTTGGTGGATTCGGCGGCACCAGCTTTATGCTTGGACAACCCCAACAGCAGCCAGCGCCCATTTCGGCCGACGAGGCGTTTGCCCAATCCATTCTAAATGTGTCCATTTTTGGCGATGACCGGGACAAAATAGTGGCTAAATGGAACTACTTGCAGGCTACGTGGGGCACGGGAAAGATGTTTTACTCCCAGAGTGCGGCGCCGGTAGACATTACGCCGGAAAACGTGATGTGCCGGTTCAAAGCCATAGGTTATAGTCGGATGCCGGGAAAGGACAACAAGTTGGGACTGGTGGCTCTGAACTTCTGCAGAGAACTCTCAGCTGTTAAGTAAGTTTTAGTGTTTTTTTCAGATCATAGTATTAATATTAATTTTATTTTAGGCCACACCAGCAACAAGTGGTTCAAACGCTTCACAGTTTATTTGGCAGCAAGCCTAACATGCTGGTTCACATCGATTCCATTAAGGAGCTAGAGAACAAAAAGTGCCAAATGGTTATCTACGTGGAGGAAAAGCTTCAGCATGCTCCTAACGAAAGCAAGCGTATATTGGCCACGGAACTCTCAAACTACCTAAATCAGGCATCGCTGAAACCTCAGCTAAATAATCTAGGGGTTGTGGAGGCTTTGGCTCTGGTATTACCCGACGAGGACCAATTAAAGGAGTACCTTGAAAATCCACCCCGAGGCGTGGATCCGCGCATGTGGCGTCAGGCCAATTCTGACAATCCAGATCCTAGTAAATTTATACCAGTGCCGTTGGTGGGCTTCAACGACTTGAAGTGGCGCGTTAAGTGCCAGGAGCAAGAAACGGACACGCATGCATTGTACATAAAAAAAGTGGAGGGTGAGCTGACAGAACTCAGACAGCGCCACGCCACGGCTACAGCGAAGATACTTGAACATAAACGGAAACTTGCCGAGCTTGGTCATCGCATATTAAGGGTAGGAAATAGTTAAATTCCCATTTTAATATTTTAATATTCACATTTTTCCACGCTAGATAATTGTGAAGCAAGAGTGCACCCGTAAGGTAGGCACATCCTTGACGCCCGAGGAGGAGGCCATGCGAACCAAGCTGCAGAACATGCAGGCTGTCGTGTCCGCCCCCACTCAATTCAAGGGACGACTCAGCGAGCTGCTCTCCCAGATGCGCATGCAGCGCAATCAATTCGCCGCCAACGGAGGGGCCGAGTATGCCCTCGACAAGGAAGCGGAGGACGAGATGAAGACCTTCCTGACCATGCAGCAACGCGCCATGGAGGTGCTGAGCGATACCGTCAACAAGGACCTGAAGGCACTGGATGTTATAATTAAGGGACTGCCCGAACTGCGACAATCGTGATAGGAAAAGAAATGAGTTGATATGTTGAATAAATCCCACATATGTTTACACAACCCGGTGATTTTCGATGATCGATTCAACGAATAAGTTGTGGCCGTTACACTTTTGCTATTGTGCCGTCGTTTAGCATTTCCTGCAGCTTTGAACTTGCACTTTTACGGGCAATGAGTCGAAACAATCGAAACGGGTTCACACATTCGTCCCCAATGCTGCGGAAATAATTGTGTGGGTCAATGCACTTGCGCCGCACAGCTCTTGGACCGCCCGACTTTTCCCTGGCCACTGCCTGAAATTGGACAATTTCGACGGCTAGGCAGGAGGCACTCGCTCGGACTCATTATGAGTGGCAAACGGTTCGTCTCTGGCGGTTCCAGTTTGTTCAACTCCAGCATCGGTATCACCATCGCTGTTACATTAACATTATTATGCGCTCTGGCATGTGCATACATGTGCAGTCTAGTTTGGCTCGTTACATATTTATTTCTTGTGTGGGAAACTAGTTTTCTCCCAGCCAACCATAGTCCGTGCAGGTTTTTTGTTGGCCATTGATGGCGGAGACTTCCGAGCTTCCGTTTCAAGCATGTAGCGCCAGTATAAATGAATTGGCCAGCTCCAAGGAGGCCTCACATCGATTCAGATCTAAGAAAGTGAAGGTGGTTGAATTGGAGCACTGCCTATGAATAGCTGAAAGTGATTCGTTAAGAGCTATTGGAATTATATTGGACATGAACGGTTTACTGGTTGTGAGTTGGGGCTTACCGCTCAGTGAGAAAATCGGACTAAGTTTTCCCATCCTTGCAGTTATTGTTGTGCGCCTTTTGCTGCTCCGTGGTCGCCAAGCCCCCGACAGCTCGACGGGCACAGCTGCACGACGATGTTCAGCTCATCCATCCACACATCATCACCATAGAGCGTTTAGAGAGCCTGCTCCGGCGTGCTGGGGAAATCTTTGGCCCGGCTCTAGAGGAAGATGCCATGGCGGAGGCCAGTAGTCAGGTGCAGGAGCAAGTGCAGCCCCAGCAGCGAATGCTGCCGCCAACGGAGCAGCCGTATAACTTCTATTTACCGCTCTACGACTTCGCGGAGCCCAAACTGGATGCCAAGAGCCGAATGCTGGAGAAGTTTGCTCCTCCGCCGCAAAAGACGGAACACAACTACTACACGGAAAAGCCAAAAAAGAAGCCAAAGAAGTTTAATGCAGCCAACAAGCACATCAACCTCAATCTCAAGTGGCTAAACACCTACGAGAGGGCAATGGGAGGAGCAACTGCGCCCAAAGCCATGTATTTGGAGCAGGACGAGCGCAACCGAATAAACTTCGACGACTCTTTCTTTGCTGTGGACATGCAGGTAAAGATGCCGGACAATCAACCTCACAAGGAGTCCGCTGCGCCCACAGAGCTTTTGCAGCATGGTGAAGAGCAGGCGGAGGAAGATCTGATGGCGGCTCCTGCGCAGTTAGCCTTTAACTTTAAGTCTCCAGTCCACAATGAACGTCGAACATAGATTGTTTTTTTTTATAGGTTTTAGTCAGTTATATAAAAATGCTACAATAAATGCAATCAGAGCGAGTAAAGTCCAGGAAAAAGATTCGACTAGTTGACCTCCTACTATTTGCGCAACTCCTTGCAGAAGGTCTCGGCAGCAGCAGCCTCGCGAGACACGGGCACGTTTTTCTGAGCCTCCTCCTCTTCGAGTTTTTTGACACCCTCACGTACAACACGTTCAATGTCGTCTAGCAGTCCGGAAGCTCCAAAACGGAACCTCTCAGGGCGCAACCAGCGAATGCCAAGAGTTTCGTTAACCAACGTCATCCAGGCGATTGCATCTCGCACAGTCTTTACTCCTCCGGCTGGCTTAAGGCCCACAATCTGGCACGTGCGACGTTTGAATTCCTGAATGGCAAATATCATGACCAGGCCAACGGGCAGGGTGGCGTTGACCGTCTCCTTTCCAGTGGACGTCTTTATGAAATCCGCTCCGGCCATCATGCAAACCATGGCTGCTTTGTAGACCTGAAGAGAGAAATGCATTTTAAAAGTATTTGTAGTGACTAGGCGACGTTGATCTTACATTCTCCATGGTTCCCAGCTCCCCGATGGCAAGAATAGTTTTAAGGTGAGCCCTTTGTCCACAGGCGCTGCGCATGAGGACCACCTCGTTGTACATGGCCTCCCAGTCGCCAACTAGGGCCAACTGGCGATTGATCACAATGTCGATCTCTGTGGCACCAGCCAGGATGGCGTGGCTAATCTCCTGCAGGCGGGTCTGCAGGCCATACTGGCCCGTGGGAAAGCCCGTAGCCACCGCAGCAATGGCCACTTTATCCAGTTTGTCGTACTGCTGTAGAGTTGTATAGGCATCCTTTACCCTGGCCGGATAAACGCATACGGCGGCAGTGTGCATCTCTGGGATGAGAGCCCGGTCAAAGAACCTGTCGAAGAACTGCGGCTCGAAGGGATAGCAGGCGCGTAGGCACAGTCTCCGCACATTGGCCGCCGTATCATCGCCAGCCAAGGTGGTCAGATCCGTCAGCATCAGAGCCCTCAACGCCCAGGCGATTTCGTTGGCTCCGTTGACATGGCACCGCTGGGACACTGTCATGGCGATCTCCTCGACCTGCCGCAGGGAGATGTTCACCTTAAGCAGGGAGGGGTCTGCGAAATGCATATGTACTTATATATTTAAGATCGTTGTATGGGTTATTTCTTACCAAAGGGCAGGGTTTTGTTTACTTCCAGTTCCTTCACATCCATGCTGCCCATTGCTGTCAAGCCCTTAAATTTAGCCGATTCAATTCCACTTGAAGACAAAATCGTTCGATCGCTCCTGACCTCTGATCTTCTCCTCAACCTCAACCGAAAAACATGGGAAAAATCTTATCAATTTGCTTGTTGGACAGCTGATGATGGCGTTGCCAGACCGCTCGTATTAACTGATAATTTCTGAGCTGGATTCCGTTAAAAGATCAACGATGTGAAAAATAAATTATTTTGTAATCATAACGTACGATGTAAAACTCATCAACTGAGTGTT